AGAGACTAAAAGCAGCTTTATTATTTTCCACCATACAGTTCAGGGCTGACCCACATTTCCAATATCATATCCCATAATTTTGTTCACCCCCAGGGAAATAGAATAAACTTACCATCCTTTGTATACTACTCCCTTTTCCACCTATGCCACTGTTCGTGCTGTTTTCTTCTCCTGAAACCATTCTCAGCAATTTCTACTTCTTAAATTTCTTACCATCCTTTTAAACTCAGTTGATAATATCCTTCATGAAACCTTTATTAATCATCTCTTGTCAAAAATAATAATTACTAACCTTTATTGAATGACTGCATTTTTGCTATAATACCATATGTGTATTGATTTTAAAAAACTAAGAAAAGAACCTCATTGTACATAGTTGCTCACAAAAAATAATAGAAATATAGGAAAACAAGGCTGAAGCAGACCATTCAAAACCTGTGGAACTTTGTAACCTTAATCCCAAGAATAGCAATAATAATCCTAATAAAGAATATTAGTATGCTTAAATCTCCATTAGGATATATGATCTAAAATAGTCAGACCATCTTTAACAGCCTTATACCTTGGGACTCAAACTTCCTCTTTCAAGAAATTGGTCCTTGAAGAAATTTTCTTTTAATAGGTACTAGTTTTGTCTACATTAAAAATACGATTCAAGGGGAACCTGCTACAAAAAAGTCAGTTTTTTTGTTAACACTAGGAAGTGTCTTCCAGATCCCTAGATACCTTAACATAGAGGAAAATGTGTTGGTTTTTGAAGACCCCATTGGCAGTAAAGGAAGGTACTTCTGTGGGATTTTTAGCACTTAATGTCTTTATGTATTACTAAAGCTTTCTCTTTAATTGTGATAAAGCTTGATCCTGATAACTTCAAAAAATCAGCATGCTGGGGAAAATTGTGTAACACAACTTCAAATTTATTCTGACCCCGTGTCCCGTTTATCAATCGCACATGAGCTAATGTGCAGTAAAGAAACATACCTTGTAGCAGAACAGGCTATATTTATCATAGCCCAGAACTGTTCTAAACTGTGTGCATATATTGACTAATTTAATTCACATCGATATGTACTATTGTTATCCCTATGTTATAGATGAGAAACTTGATACACAGACATTGAATAACTTGCTCAAAGTTACACAGCAAAATGTAGCTGAGTGGGATTTGGACTTCAGTGGTATGGCTCTATGTTCCTTATTCTTAATTACTGCACTGTACCACTTCTCTGAAAAGAACTTGCTTTTGATTTGATTCCTGTAACATCATATTTTGATACTTATCACATCTTGTCCTTTGTGTAGTATTCATTTATCCTTTGTCAAATCATGTGTCATATTTGGTTCAGAAAATGTACTAACTAAAGTTTTGATCTGTGTACAATATCTTGCTGTGTCCACCTTGAGTGATTTGGTTGCTATCTCTGTGTCTTAATGTTCCTATCTGCAGAGAGAAAAATTTAAGTTGTCATCTCCAGTGCCTCTCAGTGCTTAAATTTTATTTGAATCTCATACTCATATTCACATATATTATTTGGCACTACTTTCTGTGGGCCCATATAGCGTTAGTGTCCCTGTTTCAAATTTCACTGCAAGATTATGTCTTTTTATGCTTCCATTATTGAAAGCTTTTACAGTAGTCCTGAATCTTATGATGCATTTCTTTTACATCAGTACATCTTTAGTTCTTTGGCTTTATTATTCAGTTTAGTTCAACAAACATTTATGGACCCCCTACTATGTGCTAAAAATAAGAGGCAAAAATAAATATGACATGATTTCTGCCCTTGAGATGCTGGCAATCCAGTGGTTAATTTGTGAAAACTTGGCTAGTGCCTAGTCTCAAGAAAAGGCTTGTTTATTAAAAGTTTTTTTTCTGTGTCTCTTCACTTATGATAAATGTCATCGAATACAAATTGATTTCCAAAGTATCTTTTTTAAGTATGTATTTGGTAGCTTATTATATTACACGTCTGTTGAGATTCAGAAACTAACCTTATAGCAAGCTATTAAGAAAAAAAATGCTGAATTCTGTTGACTGTTTTGTTAGCATAGTGTATTTATTAGTTAACATAGTAGATTTAAAGCAAAGAGAAAAAAAACAGCTTTCTTTGAAATGCTTACATATTTTTTAAAAGGAAAAAATTGTTGGCTAACCAAATGAAAACCATAAATCTTTTAAGCTCTAATCTGTAGTCTTGAAATTAAATAGTTTTGAAATCGTGTTGTATAAGGGGAAAAAACATATCTGCCTATTTTTGTGGTTATAATATACTGTCTATATTACATGATATGGTATACCTATATTATAGATTTATATCATAATATGCAACCATATTATAAAGTATATGATTAACGTATAATATACAGTATTATATGTCATATAATATATAATAGTATACATTTATACATAGTATACTAAACAGGATTTAAAGTGGTCTGTTTCTAGTCTGAATATGAATTCCTGATTTCTTTATCAAATAAAATTAGATTTCAGAGTTTATTTTCAAAATATTATTGATTTGGTTTACCATAACATTTTTTAAATTGTGTGAGGTAAAAAGTGAAAGTCCCACCTCCAGAGGTCGTCACTGTTAACCATTTAATACATATACTTCCTGACTTTTTCCAATTCATACACAGATCTTACATTTAATTTCAAACCATCTTATTTATTTCAACATGGAGTAAATTAGAAAAAGAATGAAAGAGTGGAAAGACCTTCTTGTACTGAGCTGAAATAAGATAAAATATAGCCCACTCTAACATTAAAAGGTATCATTCCTTTCTTGTACCCATCTGCATTTTAAAGGTCAGTCTCACCTGTATTGTTTTCAGTACTCAGCCTTGGAGTAGTAAAGACCATGAATTGCTGATTTCAACTCTCCCACCATATTGTAGTGAAGTATTTAATACATGGCTTCACTTTTATCAAAAGTGTTAAAAATAATGGTTGAAATCTCCCGTTTCTTTTCCTGAGATTTCTTCGTCAAAGCTATAACCCATCAATTTTAATTTCAGCAGATTAAACTATATTTTTACCTATCAAATCATCTCTAATCAATAAACAGTTGGGCTTTCTCATGAGAAACAAAGTTAAGAACGTGAAAGGTGACGTTAGATCACTGTAACTATTAAAGTCAACAAGAATGATTGAGTTTAACTGTCAATGTGCTAAATGAATGAGGATAGTTTTAACAACTGAGCTGAAAGATAACACAATACTAGCTAATGTCCATAGTAAGAAGAATCAACAAATTTGTGAATTATTTTTTACACATATGTTAAGGTGGGATTAGTCTTAATTGAAATACTCTAATTAATGTCATGGATACTCACCCATCAAGGAAAATGGACTTGAATTCCCAAAAGCATGTTTGAATTTTACCCCTCAGTTTTCATAGTAGGGACCTCACCAAAATTTTTTATGGCTTGACATGTCACAATGTTTAAGGCCTTTCCAAAATAATGAATAACCTTTACAATTAATATGTAAATTCATAAATTGGCGATATTTTTCATATTTCACGACAAATACTCATAAGTATTAGTTTGTGGGCATATGTGCAAAACACCTTATTCACATTATCTCATTCAATCTGTGTAACAGCCATGTGAGGAAGGTATTAATAGTATTCCTATTCTACAGATGAGGAAACCGAGCCTTAGAGAGTTTAATTTGCTCAATGGTACACAGCTTAATAAATGGGAGAGCCAGGATTCAAAAACCAGTGGCTCTTAAATACTGTGCCGTTAACCATTATATTAACTGCTGCTCAGAGAGTGAAATATTTGGTTATGTAATGTAATACAGAGCAACTATTGCTCTCTAAGATTGAACTTATTGTAAGTGAAGTAGGTTATCCAACCAGATTGTCTTCTCTACTATTAAAGATCTATTCATTTACTTAATCAGTACACTCTTCCTATGGTAAATCCTTCTCTTGAAATTTTCTTGGAATCCGTAGCAGTATGATAAATGTATCAGTTCATATTTTGTGACATGAAAGAAATCACAGCTATGGTAGAATTGACATCAAGGAACGCTAAGGGAAATAGGAAGTTAATATTGGAGAAAGTGAATAGAAAAAGTAATTGGAAAGCACCTGAGACAGACATTATCTACTTCATAATATTATCGTTGACTAGTTTTATTACTGTTAATTCTGCTATGAACTGATCTACTCAGACTGTTGAGGTCAGTGCTTTTCAAGTAATCTTAGATGCTAAGATCTTAATCTCACCTTTGAAGTGGTAATAGAAATAATCTAACTCTATACCCTCTACTTAAGTTTTTACACACACAAATGCCCCATTTTTGACAAGCATTCTTTTCATTTATATCCACTTTTTGAAGTCTACTAATCCTACATTTTTTCCAGAAATAGAAGGGAATTTAAGATGATCCAATGTATTTATACATAGTGTATTTCTCCAAATGTCCGTATTAAGTGAGGCAGTATTAATATGGCACTACCATAATAAATGAAGTAATATTTATAAAGCACTAAAAACAGAGCCTGGTATAGTAAGTGCTATATAAAGAATGTTAAATAAATCCATTTATATCTTTATAATGCCTATTTAGGCTTCTATATTTATTAGACTGGTTTAGTGGTTAAGTGTGGACTCCAGTGCCAGACTACTTGAAGTCGAATCCCGACTTCATTATTTACTAGCTGTGTGACTTTGGCCAAGTTAATTTAATTCTCCAGGTCTTGGTTTTCTCATCTGTCAAATGTGCATAGGAATAGTACCTAACTTATAAGGTTGTTGTGAGGATTAAAGGAGTTAACATAGAATAATGCCGGACATATAGGAAGCACTCAATAAATGTTAACTGTTTATGTAATTGCCCTTGTGCATGTGCACAGTTTATGATCTATTTTTTTTAAATATTAAAAAGTTGATTAAGATGTCTGAGCCTTTTATAAACAACGATGGTTTCCTTTTTATAGCACAGTATGCTTTATATTTAATGGACTTTTCACTTTTGCTTTTAGCCAATTGCCATTGAACCCGAAGCAATGAGTTTCTCAGGGGAACGTGGACCTGACTATGTGCCTCCAACGCATCATCTATCAATGGTGAGTGGGTTGAATTCTCCATTGTGAGCACTGAGAAGTTAACTATTGGGGGAAGAGATACATAAACTTCACCACTTAAATAATATTCCACATATAGCTTGAATTCAGAGACTTAGAATTTGTTTCGTTACAATATTATTTGCACTCCAAAAGAGTCATGCTACCATGGACTCTAGTTAAGATTACCTTTCAGTAATCTTGCAAGAACAATTGAAGATTCACTTATTCAGTTGATCATTTATGTAACAGCCTAAATGCTATTGATGACTGTCTTGGCTCTTCACTTCCTTCTCATGTGAACACTGGCTATTATTCAACATTTTACTCTGTTGACTCTTCCTTCCTTGAAACTTTATGTAACAATTATTTTTTCTGTAACCTTCCTATTTTTTCTAACTTCTCTGATTCTCAGTTGCTTTTACTAGTTCTTATTCCTTAACATGGAATACGCAGCCCTTAAAAATATGATCCCAACCAAATTTCTAACCTCATCTCCTGCAACTCCCTGTCCTGGAGTCTACTAGACATAATAGACTACTTCTACATCTGCAAATACTCCGTGTACTCTCACTGTTTGTGTCTTTTTTTTCCATATTTTTCTCAGTGCTTAGATTCCCTTCCCCTTCCTTCTCTGCCTGAGTAATTCTTACTCACTCTTAACATTCAGTTCAAATGTCACTTCTCTTCTGATAATCTTGCCTGACACTCTCGGGTAGAATTAATCAGTTTCTTCTTTGTGGTCATATGGCACTTTGTAAATAATACTATCAAACAACTCATCACACTGTATTCTAGTCAGTCTGTGCCATGTTTTCTTATTGATTTTTGCAGTCACAGCAAATAACATAGTACCTTGAACATAGTAGAAATTTAATGTATGTTGAATGAGTGAATGTATGATTGAATGTATGTAGGTATGGGTGGGTGGATGGATGGATGCCCAAGGAAAGGAGATCTCAGAATCCAGTCCTAATGAGATGGGATAATTTATTCTCCCAGGACACTAATGCACAGGGACTATATTTTGGAATGTTCCTGGCCCCTCCAACAAGATTATAAAGTAATTAGATTCTTCCAATCTCCTCTCTCATATTCACAAAGTGAGTTTCTTACATTGACCTACTTATTCGCTTACCAGGATCCTGTTATTTAATCATTTTGTGAACATGCTTATCAAACGGTATATAAGTACAAGAAAATTAAAATTGTTTAGCTACACTAATGGAAGCAACTTCACAGATGATATTGAGAAATTCCTCACTTACATTTCCACAAAACATGAGCTAAAAATATAACATATTAAGGAATAATAAATCATTCTGTCTAACCAGCTCAGGCTTCAATTAAGGGTCACATAAACACATATTGGCAATTTGCTCATTATATAATTTATAATATTGATTTATAAGATAACAAAAACACACAGTTGACTATAATTACTTAGTAACCACATATTATCAATGTTATAATAAAATATTTGAAAGATGGAAATAGATCCTAAGTTCTTCTTGCAAAATGGGAGCTATGCAGTGCCAAGAAGCCACCTTTAAGTGGAAAATGTTCATAAAGCAGCCCTAATTTGGTTTATTAATCTTTAAAAACTAAATGATGAATACCAAAAGTGTGCTAACTAACATCTGATTCAGAAAGTTTTACCATCAGTCATTTTCTGGTCATGCCAAGTCCTGGGTGTTCCACTCATTTTAAAACTGTTTTCTGCTTGGAAGGTGCTAACTGTGTGTGTCTAAATAAGCATGAAAGTAAAAGCCCATACACATGTGATAATGGTGCCTCTGTTGTCTGTCTCTTTACAGTCACTTCACAAGAGATGTAAACCTAAGGGTATATGAAGAGAAACAATTGATCTAATCACTAAGTCTATCACTAAAACATTGAAAGAAATTTTTACTTTTCAGAAACACTTTAAGTTCCAATTCCACATACTTTTTGAGTTTTTGAGTATAGTTTCATAGACTGTCATCTGTTACCAAAGAAACATTCACTGAAATGTAGGTCTAAGTAATAATAATAGCTATCATTTATGGAATGTTTACTATGCTGGACACTATGATAATCATTTTATAAGTGATGATATGTTTAATCTTTTTGTCAAGCTAATGAATTATATATTATTCTTTTCTTCATTTTACAAGAAGAAACTGAACCACATAGAGTCTAAATAACGTGCCCCAAATCATGTGGCTGTTAAATGACAAGCAATCTGACTCCAGAGCTCATGCTCTTATTCAATATGCTATACTATTTATAAATTGCCTAGCATTTGCCTACAGAATGGCTTCAATGAGCTCACCCTAAAACAAAGTTTTATTTGGTTTCTCCACTCTCTTGTCAGAAAGTCTTATAGATTGGCCTATCTGAAATTAAGGTAAGGCTATGGAATTTTAGGCAATGTTGGAGTTAGCCAGGATTCTGAAGGCCAAAGTACAATGGTAAAATGTTAAATACCTCCTTTAAGAGGATATTTGCATTGAGAAAGCTGGTATAGTCTCTTCACTGAAAAATAATGACTTTTAAAATTCTACTTTTACATTTTGTGCTTCTTCCTGTTGAAAACGGAATTTTCTTCATTTTTCTTTAGGTTATATTGTTATTGGTCCCTGTAGTGCTAATTGAAAAGGCTGTTATTACCTGGTTTTGCCTTTTAATATGCATAACTTTTCAATTAAATAGAAAAATGACAATCAGAAACACATTACTAGTGATGAGAAACAGCTTGTGAGATGTCAGAAGGCGTCTGTCGAATTCAATCAGTGCATTCTCAAGTGTTTTCTTCTTATTTAAAACATCAACCACACTTTGACAGATTTCTTCTGTTCATACATTGGTTGTATGCCTGTTATACTCTTACTATATGTGTCCTTTTTCCTCTCAAGACAGGCTTACATAATCTGTTATGGCTTATTTGAGTCTTCAAAATATACTGCCCCTTGAGTATAAATCATCCTTTGTTAGCAAAGCAAGTTTTGTTGTTGTTGTATTACAGAAAACATTGAACATCCACAACTAATTTTGTAGGTTATTGGGAAAATAGGTACACTGACAAGGATTATGAATTTGAAGCTCCACAGGTATTGTCCACATATTTTTATATTATTCTTATTATTAATATTGATCATTGATAATGTTCAAGTCCATCTAACTTTCAAATTGATGATCCATTCTATGCTCTGTAAAGAGATTATTCTATCTATAAACACTACTTGGTGATACAGTGTCATTCTCCTACTCAAAACCTTTCATGGCTCTCAATGGAAATCATTCCATTTATTTCCATTTTATTTATTTATTTTTTATCTCAATAGAATAATTCCTGTGAGTAATTCCAAATGCCTTTGCTTGTCAATCAAAACCATCTACTAAAATGGCAGCACTGTTCTCTCAGTACTCTATCAGTGATTTTTGTTTTGATTATTTGTTTTGTTTTCTGCTCCCGCCGTAATGGATTTTTTACTCTCCTTGGAATTCACCATGTGCATTCCTAGCTGTTTGTTTTTGCTCAAAACCTCTCTGAAAATGTGAAACTCTATTCTTTCTGGTTATCTGAATGTTTTTTTCTCCAAAATAGATCTCTCCCTTCTTCATGAAGTCTTTTTGGACCATTCACCTCCTGTAGAATGTCATAAAACTTTGTCTTCATATACTACTTTGTATTGTTATATCTCTTTTATGTGGAGATACTGCTTTGTTAACCAGATTTAACCTCCTTCAGAGAAAGGACTTGGTTTATTCTTCACCAATGTAAGAGGATGCCTAGAGCATATGAAGCATAAATATTTGCCAATTTATTCACTAATCTCATAGATTTTTATCAACCATGTCAGGCAGTACAGTGGAAAGAGTAGTCAATTAGAAGTTAAGAGATCAGGATCATGGTGCTGACTTGGTCACAAATTAACACACTGTTTTACATAAGACAGATCACTTAGCTAATTCATATTTTTCCCCTCTCAGGCCATCAGTGAGATGGTGATAATGATTACTATTTTTTACCATTTTGGGGTTAGAGTTGGATGTGGTTATTTATGTGAAAGCATTTTGTAAAAACATAAAGTGTTGGACAAATATAAGAGATAGTCATAGATAAGTATAAGATTTCTTTGCTGAAAATCATCATAGTTGACCAAAATATTTGAAGAAAAATTGTTTTTATTATAAGTATGTTCTGCTACATAACAAACCTAACTTTTATCAGAGTAGCAATACCAAAGTGGAACTACAAGGACTTTGGAAAGCCTCAATATAAGGCATTTTTCTTACTTACTAGTGACCAGAAAGCAAAATAGGCATGAGCATATACCAGAATTCCATGTTAAAGTCTACAACATATTATCTCCAATACAATTTAACCCATAACTTAGTTACTTTTACTGTAAATTGAGAATTAAATTATTGAGTGAGTTGAGACTACAAGAGTTAGTAATGTTGTAAGGATGGGGTTTGGCAGAATCTTTATTGAGAGAATTTCCCTGCAGTGCAAATAAATTATCAATATTTTGGTGTTCATTTCTTGCAGTTGAATTAAGGAACATTCTGGAAGTTTATAGTAAATAAAGGAATAGGTATCCAATGAAAGGACCAGAAAAGACTTAGTGAAATTATGTGTGGAAGGAACTCAGAGTAAAGCATATTCAACAAATAAATATTCTAAAAACTTGGTAATATTTCAACTGTCATAGGTGTTATTATCAGTGAATGTACCACTCCATAAATACTCACTTTAGCTATGTAGTAGTAGAATGGGAGATAATTATCTAATGACTTCTCCATATCACTTTGGATCCCAAACTATTCCTGAATTAGTCTGATATCAGTCTGGAACACGCCAGAATGTGAAGGGCAAACATTCTGTTTATAATTTAGTAAGTTAATTATTAAATTTAATAATCTGGCAACTGTACTTACTTGAGGTAAAATGATTAGGGGTCTTTGTTGATGAGAATCCATATATGAATAAAGCCATAATAGAAAATGTCAGACAG